TCGCCCCTCGCAATTTACTCAGGACCCCCGCTCCCGCTTGAGACTTCCGCACAATTTACTCAAGGAACGGCGCTCCCGCCTGGGACCTCCCTCGCAATTGAGCTACGTTGAACTCTCATAACGGCGCTCCCGCTTGGGACCTCCTTCGAACTCTCACTCCTGAAGAATAATTATTGTTCTCATACGCGCCTCTCCGAGGGAATAGAGCTCAGAGGCGATTAGTGCGTACGCGCGGCCGCGCGGCCCCGCGCGGCCGCGTCCGGGATTTTTCCGGCCGTTTCGCTTGGGACATCCCTGGGATTTTGAAAATCGGTCGCACCCCTCACGCAGATCGCGATTTCATGGTCAAAAACACTAGTGACGTTCGGCTTGGGTATCGTCTCCCATGTGCCCCCGAACATTGCCAGAGCTCTCACCCCAACGTGGCCGGCGACGGCGTGCCCCAGTTCACCTCCCACGTCTCCTTGAGCGTTGCCTGCCACATCACGCTGAGCAGCATCGCCAGTGCCTGCTGCGGAGGCTTTCCCTTTTCGCACAAGCAGATCCTGGCGCTGTAGTAGTGGCGCTTCGTTATTGTATGTAGCTGATCACATCCCCGCACGCGCGAATCCCAGCAATGTGATTGATGACGTCGGGCTCCGACTTCACCTCCCGCGGGGCCGCTGGGCAACAACACTGTCCACTGCCGTATTTCGCTTTCCTGCACGCAGTGACCCCAGCGTTATGGCTAACGAAACGGGGTCTCAGTGTGGATTGCCGCTGATATCTGCTTGCGACAAGCGAAATGGGGTCTCACCGACAAGTGCCAGAGCTCGCTGCCTCTGATTGCGGGTTCGCTTCCCGCGCTTCTCCAATTACACGTGGCCGGGAAGCAATATAACGCCCCAAGAGGGGTACGATCGAAGACGAAGAGGGCGGGTATCCAGGGTTTGGGACATGCATAGTGAATGACACGCGGGCAGATAGGGGCGAGCAGTCTTAGAATGATTGTTGTTGTTGTTGTTGGCTCTTTGTTTTGCAAAATATATTGTTGACCCCCCCCCCACTCTGGTATTTTTCACTTGCAGTGCATCCTTCGAGGCTCGCACCCTGCTGTTTATTAGGAAAGCTTGGTGCCGCCAAACTATGTTGCCGGGCCCCACCTCAATCACGGCTCCCGCCTGACATTTCCTCACAATTAACCCAACGTCGGGCCCTCACGAGGGATTTGCCTCACATGTTATGCAGGGGTAGCGTTCTCGCGTTCTCGCGTGGCACTTCCTCCCAATTCATTCAGACGCCGCGCCCTCGACACTCAGGAATCGCGCTCTCGCTTTGGCCTCTCTTGCGATTTACTTGGGAATCGCGCTACCGCTCTAGACTTCTTCACTATTCATGAAGAACTCACGCTTCAGCAACCCGCCTGCTCGACCTGGCCGCCGGGGCCCGCCTTCCCGACCCGCTCGTTAGGGTCTACCCGCCCGATTGGCCCGTCGGGTTCTGCCACGTGTTTTCTGCTCCTAGCCCCCCTCCTGCTAATCGCGTGCTCTATCCTTTCCCTTCCGCTTTCCATCAGTCCTCTTGTCCCTGTTCCAGGGACTGCGCCAATTACGCGCGGCAGGTAGGGACGATATACCCCCGGAGGGGGTACGATCGAAGAAATAGAGGGCAAATGTCGAGCGTTTGGGATTTACGTGTTGAGTGGCACGCGAACGGGTAAGAGCGAATAGTCTCAACATGAATGTTGTTGTTGCTGTTGCTGCTGTTGTGTTTGTGCTTGTTGTTGCTGTTGTTATTGCTGATGCTGCTGTTGTTGCTGCTGTTGTTGCTGTTGTTGTGGCTTGTTGTTGTGCCTGTTGTTGTGGTTGTTGCCGTTGTTGTTGCTGTTGTCGTGGTTGTCATTGTTGTTGTTGGTGCTGTTGTTGTTTTTTGTTACTGTTGTTGTATTCGTTGTTGCCTGTCGGTGTTGTTGTTGCTGCTGCTGCTGTTGTTTTTGGGTTGTTGAGTTGTCACTACTGAATCATAATTATTAGCGATCCCCCTCTGGGGAACATGCCCGTCCTAGGGCAACCCTGCTTTTGAATCAGGAAATCTTGGGCCTCAGTGTTGTGTTTTGGCCACCCGGTTTACAACAACAAAGGCTCCCGCCTGCTACTACCCAAATCGCGCTCTAGCGCGGGACTTTTCTTACAACTTATGCACTAATCGCGTTCTCGCGTGAGACTTCCTCGCACTTTATTCAAACACCGAGTTCTCGACACTCAGGAATCACGCCGCGCCCTCGACAATCAGGAATCACGCTCTATCGTTGGGCTATCTCACGATTTACTGGGGAATCGCGCTATCGCTCGAGATTCCTTTTCGTTTCATGCAGGACGCACGCTCCAGCAACACGCCTGCTCGACCTGGCCGCCTGGGCCCGCCTTCCCGACCCGCCCGTTAGGGTGTGCCCGCCCGATCTGCCTGTGTGGTTCTGCCACGTGTTTCTGCTCCTAGACCCCTCCTGCTACTCTCTCAGTCG